GGAAAGAGTAATATACATCAAATATTCATTGTGACTCTAATTGGTATTCATTTCTAGTTTCTCCTAAGTAACAAAGGAAGATAGCAAACGGGAAAAAAAAATTACAGGAACAGCAATATTTAAAATACAGATGTCACTTAGCTCAAACTTATTATTTTCTTTTTTCTCAGGCTACAAACAGCATGCCAAGAAAAACAGTTCCTGTGTGTGGCCATTCCTATGTATTAATGTATTTTACAATTTTCTGAGGAGCCATTTCAACCCAGTGCAACAAATGCTAGAGGCAACAGTAAGCTATTTATGATTTTTTCCAACTGAATAGCTTTACTATATGATTTCAATAACTGTCAGTTCTATCTGATAGCAGAAGAATTTTTCCATTTATTAAATTCTGCATATTAATCTAGTACATGCTCTAGACTACCCTTCAGTTTTACAGTTTGTCTTTCACCTACAGATCATTTAAAGGCATCTAATCTGAAACAGCAAAGCAAACGTACTCCACTATTCACCTTAAGTCTGTAATCAACTGAATCTATTGGTGCCTTCAAGTGGTTGGCGTTTCACCTGTACCAAGCTACTCAAATCATTTTTCCAAAGGTCTACTGAGCAATTTTACTGACATTTATTCAGAAAGCAGAAGCCTACTAGATCCTGCTATCCTTTATCAACACGCCTCCAGACTCTGCAGGACGCCTTTATCTCTCAGTACTGCAGCTGTTTTCTCAAAGACCAGGAGAACACCAAAAAATGAGAAAATTACTCACAGATACATATATATATTTTTTTTATATATGAAACAGAAACCACTGGTAAAATCTACTGGTGGACTGCATACAAAGAAAATCCCACCATTTGAGGAAGTCTGAGTTTGGCATCACAGATTTCTCCTAATTTTCAGTATGACCTGTCAGTGCAATTAGTCTTGTATTTTGAGCATCAAATTGTCAAAGGTCCACTTCCTGAAAGCGTCAGAGCACCTGCTGAGAAGCAGTCTCTTCACAGCTGTTTGTGCAGGAATCCTCAAAACACACAATGCTCACAAGCAGCCTGCCCAGGAGCTGGCAGGTTTTGAGTGCGATAGTAAAGAACTTAGGGCAAAGTGTTGAGGCAGTGGTTCTCAGAATCCCTTCTCATTGTACCCCAAGTTATTTAAATATTGAGAATTTTTCCTCAGCTGCTTTGATTTCTTCAAAATCTAGTCCAGGAACTTAAAACAGGCTGCCGCTGGAAAAACACTACCCAACAGTTCACCTCACTGCACGTTATACCCATTCCCAAGCAAGTTTCTGTTGCCTCAAACCCAGCTGGTGGTGTAGCTTTTCAGTGAAGAACTAACACCAATTTTACAATAACATATTTATCCCATGAACACAATCCTGATGTTTCTGCAATCTACCTTCGTTATATTCTTGGCCTCAAGCCACAGTTACAAGTTTTTGCTTGCACACCTAGCGAGATAGTGATAAGAGGAATTGAGAGTCTCTAACACGGCTGTAAGAACAAATACAACTCTACTGTTGTTTCAAGAAAACTCATTTTGCTGACATGATATATATCCATGAGGGATTCAGCATATGGTTACTAGTAAAAGGATAGTTTTTATTACAGAAGTTGCACCCCTACCCCCAAACAATCGTTGAATCAACAACCGCCTATCAACCCTCCAACTATGATTCCTCCAACTGATTACTAAACAACTAATAATACCTCTAAATAAAGCAGGCCACAAGTGAGCCCTTATCCTAACATCTCTAATAACCTTCCACTACTACTTTCCAACACTTGCAAAGTTGATTACTTTCTTTTGCCTTTCATTGGATTCTTATTTCTCCTGAAGTGTGAGTATAGACAATTTAAGCCTGAAAATTTTGCACGATACAAAAATAAATTCTAGGTATGTTAGTAGATAGTAACCAGCTACTTCACAGGAAAGCTACATACAAATTTTAGTAAGAGAAAGCAAAACAAAAATCAAAGAAATGATATTTCTGTTAAGTTAAAGTATTTTACTACTTTGGAGGACTGATTGGGCTGTCAAGCGCAAGGCTAAGTAGCAATAATGATATAATCATAACACCACTGACAGAAATTTCATTTGTTAATAAAATTAGATTTAAGAATTAGACACATTACTGAAGTATAGGTTTGGCAAAAGAAATATGTATGCAACTAAAATAAGCTCTCCCTGGGTTGATATTTACTACTCAAGAGATGTAGCTGAGGGGCAGACCTCTTGGCAGGCTGCACTTCCTCTCACCTTACCTGTGGGTTAGCAGCAGCCTTCATCCTTCCCAGCCACATACTGTTTGTTCCCTTTGGTTGTTCTGCAGCTGCCCAGGAGGAGTCGACTGAAATAGTTTTGACTCTCACATATATGCAAACCCACTTGGTCCAGGACAAGGCAGACTCCTAAGAGGCAAAGAAGGAACATAAGAGGGAGTGAATTAAAGATGGGGATCCTGCCTCATTCAAACAGCAAAGCATGTCCCCAGTTGTCCGCCACACTATTGCCACCTACTGCTGACAGCCTCCACCCCTGCTTCTTATTCTTGCTTTTCATTAATGCACAGCAACTTACAGTTTCCTCACTTAAGCTTAAGCCTGTATAGTGCATGTTATTAGGTGGAGAGAAGTCTATATTGGTGATTCTAAGAGCATCTAGTATTTTGAAAGACTTTGACAGGCCTTTTCACTTTAAAGACAATGGCATTATCTCTGGACCTGATAAAACCATTCAAAACAGCAGAAGTCTAATGCTAACTGTCAACTGGTTTGGAGTAAACGCAGGGAACGGCAGTTGTAATTGCAAAAGATAGATACCCACAAAGGTTTGAGGAATGTCTCATGAAAAAGACAGACAGACAGAAAGACAGAAAAACGCTTGCTTGTAAAACCACATATTATACAAAACTAGGATGGTGTAAGTACAATAATACATCCAGGGAGCTCATGCAGGGAGTTTCGCTTTCAGTTAGGTACAGAGGCCTGCCAAACCAAGTATATGAGATACAAAAATCACTAAGTACTTGAAATTTCACACAGGACTGACACACTGCATCAGCATCTATTTTGTCCAGTTAGCCAATCATCTTACTAACTCTTTTAGAGTCAAAACTGAAGGGATCACATCTGACAGTATTTACTTCTATTTCTAGCTCTAAAATGCTACAGTGTTTCAGGCTGACTGGATTTGATGAATTAATATCGAATAATCACTGTGATGTGGCATACTTCACAACGTGTGTACAAACATACACAACCTAGTACCTCATGCAACAATACTGTCACACCTTTTCATGTTTTCATACGCTTTCTTACTGAAATTCATAGATGCATGAGAGAGAATAAATGTTTATCAGATTCAGCCATTAGTTACAGCTGAGAACGTAAGATTCTACTTGGAAACTATTGCCTTGCAGGTTATAATGGTGCCCAAAAATATGATCTATGCCCTGATGTTTCAGGGTGAGGGCATTCAAAAGTCAGGATGGGTGGCTACAGGATTGAGCATTTACTACTGTAGAAAAGGGTTAATACCTTTTACAAAAACAAAATAAAATAAAAACCCATGACATCCTATTTCAAATACCTATATAGGCTTTGGCCAAAATGTATCTTTAAAAAAAAAAAAAAAAGAGAGAGAAATAATAATCACATTTTCTTCCTTCAGCTTGAAAATGTATTAACAAAATTAGACACAGCCCATGAGCATACAGGTTTAATCTGTTATCTTAAAATGATGTTAGTGCTTAATATGCTCTCCACGATATGTTAAAATGATATGTTAGTGGCAAATATACTTTTATACTTCTGTTGGTAGCAGTAAAATACCAGAGGGCTCAAGAAATTCCCCCTTTTAATTACATTTTTAAGCTGCAATATAATCAGTCTTGTCATTCTGTCGTTAGTCATGTGTGACCTTTCTGCACAACAAAAGGTTAGCTCACACATTTCACAAACAGAATTTGCTTACAGTTGAAACTAAGAAAATTACCGTGGGCAGGCAGAAAGCCTCCTGTATTTTCTTCTTCTCATCATTCATCTTTCAGAGCCAAACAGCTATCAAAACAGTGCCTAGGAGCTAGCAACCAGATTAATTAATTGTTCTGAATTGATAAAGCAAGCTGTTTTCCTAACAACTACCATTACACAAACTCTCAGAACATTCTCTCCATTCATTTCTCTTTAATCTCCAGGCATTGACTCCCTGAATTACTAAACTGATACAGTAGTAAAAAAGTAATGACAACTATGCATAGAGAATGAGGACAAAAAAAATTTCCATTTGCAAGACATACAAGCAACCAGAAAAGATCAACAAAATTTGAAATATGTGGGTAACGTACAACAGTCTATATATGAGTAATAGCTTTTAATGTCTGCATAGCAGCCAAAACACACTGCAGATGGATTGTAAATAGTTCTGTAAGAAAGACCAGGGAAAGTTAAATGAGATACACTTCAAGAAGAATTCTCTCAGTTCTTGTGGCTTGCGTGGCTTAACTCAGAATATCATTCTCCATGCAAAATAAAATGAAGACCATGCTTTCAGAAATCCATTTACAGAAACTCTCCAAATGTGAATTGACTCTGGGGCAAGCCTCACATCTAATTCTGCATGCAATCTTCTTCCTGTGGTTCCAAACTTTCCAATTCCTCAGTCAACTTTGGCTGAGTTTATAGGGAAGTTATGAATGTTAATCACACATCCCTGGATACAAGCATCCAAAAGTCACGGACCTTTTCTTCCAGATCTATTTTATTTTATACATACATATTCACACACACACACACACACACATATAATCACCTTATGTACTATATAAATATAACATATATAAGAAAGAGTTACAAAAGACCCACTGATAAAGATGTCACTTTTTTATGACACATACACGTTTTACTTTTTATACATCATTTGTAAGCCACTCTGCTTACACTGTTTCCCATCGCTATTTGAGAATGAGTGTAACCTGTTTATGGCCAAGGAAAACGCATCAAAACTCATCATGCTTTGTGCACGTGATACCAACGATATTTGTAAGTCATCCTTCTCCCCTGTAAAACTACAGAGGTGACTGCAACTGAGCTAAGTGAACACAGCACAGTGGTTCATGAATGAAAACCAGAATCATCGTGGCTCATTTCCAGAGCCTTCAACAACAGATGCATGCAAAGCTCTTTTCTTCATCTCCCTTAATATCTCCCTTAACGTTTTTGGAAGACCTTGAAAAACACTTAGTAGCACATACTGAAACATTAACAACGCATGGACGAGGCACAGCCTTGCAAGTTTTCTACAAGCAATCAACATTATCTGTAATTTTCCTCACCAAAATGAAATCTTAAATAACCACATGACTAGTCAACTTCAACACTGACTGACAAAGGGATACAAATGAGAAAAATATATTATGGGAAGGATGGCAACAAAACTGAGGACTATAATCATTAACTTCCCAGATGGTGCATTTACTGTTGCTTAGTTGTGGATCATGAATTAAGCACTAAAATCATAATATTCTTGACGATCTGCATTTTTAAAGGGAATTTATCTTTTCCAGCTGATCTTAATACTAAACACAGAAAGTGAATGAAGATTTATTCTTTCAGTTATGTTGCTTTTTTTCTAGTGAACCTCTGTTTCTTCTAACTCAAATGTTAATATTTGTTTTCCGTTCAGCTTAGTTGTAGAGATGACGATCCATCTGTACAGCTGGTGCGCTGGTGGCAGTTCATGAGGACAAGAAAAGCCACAGAATTTCACTACATGCTCTTTTAAGTGTATATGTTTCTCAGAACACTGCTGCATGCTAGACAGCCACAGATATCACAGGCGAGCAAGAAAGGTGAATGCAAATGAAACACTCATGATCGGACAGGCTGCCCAATATTAACAGCAGTTTAGAGCAATACCAGTGTAAACTACTTAGCTAAAGTTTTAAGTTTTTAAAGTTTTTTCAATAGAACGTACTTTGAGAGAAAACCTAAAAGTTTAATCTTGGACTATAGTAGAAAGCTGTTACCTAAAAATGGAGAGAGATTCACCTTTCTTAAAGTCAGCCTAGGGAAACAGACCCGATTCCAATGCAGTTAGAACACTGGATACAAATCTCAGTAATAATCCTCTGAATTGGTCCGAAAATAACAGCAAAGAAGGAAGGTTTGTCCTGTGTAGAACCCTCAACAGTTGTATCTGGTTTTGTGCCTATTTTATTCATCTTTTCTATCATAATATACAGCTAAGCTTCATGCGTATTTTAATATTCCATCTGTTAGACACTTTCTATAACTGTTCATCTGATTATGCTGACACACAGACGCTGCAGCCAGCAAAATCTTAAGAAGCCATCGTAAAACACTATTATTTTTCCTAAATAAAACAGGAGTAAATTGAATGATGCTGAACATAGGCATCTCAGAGAAAAAGCATCTTGCACTGTGATGGGTATCCAAGAAGTTTCCTGGTCAGATGTTTATCCTTATAACTACTGACTTCAATGCCATATATATAAAGATTTATTCAAAATTAAAATCCTCAGCTCTACACGTTTCTCTTCTCTTTAGAGGAAACCTCCTGGAAACCTCTCTTCCATTCCCAGCTTCATGCACTTCATGCACATACTTTGCTGATTTTATATGTAATAATGTAATATATCCTATTAGCAAGACCTTCTTCTTTGCAAGTTCTATCTCACTCCTGTGTGCGTCTTTATAACTTAAAAGAAAACTGGACTATCTAATGCTCATTTGCTGT